CATAGCAGCTGACAAGACACATAGACACCCCCCCGCCATTGCAGAGACCCCTGCCAGCGCCGAGATGTTTCCAATGCAGAGACCCCTGCCAACACTGAGATGTTTCCAATGCCACTGGATCCAAAGACTTTCTCCCCACTGGCCTGTAATCTTCTCCATTCAGCATCATTGCATGTGTTCTGTGAGTCCGAAGAGGACTTTAGATTGGTATCGGACTTGTGGGCTATTATCGGACTTATGGACTTGGTCTGGACTGAGCTGGGATGTTTTCTCAATGTTCAATTGCTCTTGTATATAAACCTCTCCCTTATATACATATGAGTGTGTCCATGGATTTGTTTCTCTAGTCTACCCAGACAAACACAGGGAGTTTTGGTAGCACCGTGGTTACGTGTTGGGCTGTGAACTGTATGGTCGGCAGTTCGAAACTACCAGCAGCTCCGAGGGAGAAAGGCTGGGCTTTCTCCTCCAGTAAACAGTTACAGTCTTGGAAACCCACAGCGGGTCCCTATGAGTCGGCTTGGACGTGGTGCCAGTGAGTTTGGTTTGGTTTATCTTGTTTCTTCTTGGGAACTGAAATTGCTCTGGGATGAAAAGACTTGAAGAGGTTCACTCTTTGGGTGGGAAAACCAAAGGTTCTGTGTGGTTGAAGTTAAGCTGGAGAGAGCAAACTTAACCAGTGGGTAACTGGTAAATGAACGAGGAATGCAGGGAAAAGGCCCAGTCGGGAGGCATACATCAGTCCCTGCTGTGATGGCTTGTCCTGTCTGTGAAGGCATTGGGATGCTAACCAAAAGGTCAGAAGTTCAAACAGGCCGCCACTCAGAAAGAAAGAAGAGGTGGCCAGCTTCTATAGAGATTGACCATCTTGGAAACATGTGGTGTCCGAGTTTAAATTCTGAGCACTAGGTGTGTGGAAGCTACAGGAACCTTGGTAGTGTAGTGGGCTGTGCATTGGAATGCCAACTACCAAGTCAGCAGTTTGAAACTAGGGGATGCTCTCGGGGAGAGGGACAAAGCTTTCTATTCCCATACAGATTCATAGCTTCGGAAACCCACAGGGGCAGTTCCACCTTGCCCCACAGGGTCACTATGAGTCCAAATCAACTCCGTGGCAGTGAGGTTTGTGGGAAGCCAGAGTGACAGTGAAAGCCCAAAATCTATTTTGAGACTCCAGATGGATGAAGCTTCTCACTGAATTCCTTCTAGCCAGTTGACGGTTAGGAAGAATTCAATGGAACCATAATCCATATGGAGTCTCAAAATAGAAGAAGCATGTGCCACCAGGCTCGGTGGGAGGCTTATTCACAGAAGCAGATGACACAACTTCGCTTGCTGAAAGTGAGGAGGACTGGAAGCCTTCCACTGACAGTGATCAAGGACGGCAGCTTTCAGTGTGGATGACACTCAACGTCAAGGAAACCAAAACCCTCACACCTGGAGCAATAGGCAGCGTGGTGATAAACGGAGAAAATGTTGAAGCTGTCAAGGACTTCATTTTGTTTGAATTCACAATCGATGGTCATGGAAGCAGCAGTCGAAAGATCACACAATACATTGCACTGGGTAAATCTGCGGCACATGACCTCTTTAAAGTGTGTTCTAAAAGCAAGGCTATTGCTTTGACGACTAAGATGTACGCAACCCCACCATGTAGTATTTCCAAGTGCTTCATGTGCATGTGAAAGTTGGCTGTTGACTGAGGAAGACCAAAGTAGAATCAGCGAGTTTGCATTTTGGTGCTGGCGAAGAACACGGAAAGTCCCATGGACTCCCAAAAGACCAAACAAATCTGTCTTGGAAGAAATGCAGCCAGAATGTTCCTTAGAGCAAGGAGGGTGAGGCTTGTCTCCTGTACTTTTGGACTTTGTCAAGAGAGACCAGTCCCTGGAAAAGAGCATCACGCTAGGAAAAGCACAGAGGGGCAGTGAGAGAGAAGAAGGCCCTTGCCACAGGGATGGTGAGGTAGTTTATTGTGCCAACCTGGCCGATAAACACGTGGGATTAATTGAAGGGCGGAGGGATAAATGGCTTGGCGAGCCTCGCCTTTCGAGTTCTCGGGTCTCTTGCTTTCTGGTTGGACCAGGGTGAAGCTGCCTTGGCCAGTTCCCTGCTTTAGCTGGCAAGGCTCACTTCCTGCAGGACGTCCCTGAGGAGAAGCCACATGGACCTGGCCCGATGCAGCCCTGGGTGCTGGAGCACCCATGTGGAGACCCCTGCCACCGCTGAGATGCTTACACATTCACTGACTCGGGTTTCCTCCTGCAGTCGGCATCATTGTGTGTGTTTTGTGAGACGGAGGAGGACTTTGTGGACTGGTGTTGGACATATGGGTTAATGTTGGACTTGTGGGCTTGGGCAGCACTGGGTTGGGATATTTTCTTGATGCACACTTAACCTTTGCATAAAACTCTCTCTTATACATGAGTTTCCGTGGATTGGTTTCTCTAAAGTACCCAGACTAACACAGATGGAAACAATCGCTGGAACAATGGCGTCAAACATAAGCCCCATCATGAGGAGGCTGCAGCCCCCACTCCAAAGCTAGTGAAGGAGAACGTACATTTTAACAAGGCCCTCCAAGTGAGGCACACAGACACTTACGTTTCAGAAGCACTGCCTTACACCTTCACGTTTCTAGATCTCAAAAACTGGCTGCACATCAGAAAACAACTGAAGATCAAAAAAGAGAGAGAGAGAGAGATGCCTGGCCCCGACTTGTCGCAGTGGACCTGTAATGACCCTGTAGGACAGAATAGGACATGTAGGCAAAGATGGGGTTTCCAAGACTGACATCATCATGCATGCAGATGGACACATATTTCTCCTGCTGAGTCATGGATAGGCCCGGACATCCAACGTGTATAATAAATAACCAGGCGCTTAACCACCGGGCGCTCCTTCTCACAAGAGGTTCAGATTTAATTTTCCTAGTATACTGCCCAGCATTCACACAGCCCCTTGGAAATTATAATGCGTGTGTAGATCTGGGCACCTTGGCACACACCTTTGCACCTGGACACAAGTGCTGTGATAAGACTGGGATGCTTACATGCTCACTGATGCGGCTTTCCTCCTGCAGTCAGCGTCATTGCGTGTGTTTTGTGAGATGGAGGAGGACTTTGTAGATTGGTGTCTGACATATGAGCTAATGTTGGACTTGAGGCTTTGGACATCACTGGGTTGGGATGCTTATTGTACACTTACCCTTTATATAAAACTCTCTCTTATACATATGAGTTTCTGTGGATTTGTTTCCCTAGTTTACCCAGACTAACACATTGTGTGAACCTAGACAATTGGGGTAGTTTCTCTCTTGGCTAGATTTCTTAGGCTAAGTGGTTATGCTGTAGGCTGCTCTGAGGGAGAAAGACGAGGCTTCCTACTCAGAAATAGCTACAGTATGGGAAACCTGCAGGGCTGTGAGTAGAAGAAACAGTAGTAGTAGCAGCAGCAGCAGCAGCAGCAGCAGCAGCAGCAGTAGCAGTCGCAAGGTAGAGTGAAATAAGCCACCTTGTGTGCTTCGCAGCTGTCCTGAGCATCAGGTGTGATGTGTGACTCCAACCGCCATCAGGACGTCTTGGCCTACATAAATAGGAATTCAAGAAAACGAATGCAGCATGAGACAGGCCTGGAAGACAACACTGTCCAGCGAGCATTACTGTGGCTCTGACTGCCCTTGAGTTGGTTCAGACTCATGGCGATGTTAGGGTTCTGGAGTGGGTTAGACCTCGCTTCTTTGCTTGCCACGCTCTCTGAAAGAATTCACGGAAACACGCTTTGTAACCCAAGTGAGTTTTTATGAAGGAAAGTTAAGTTTCCGGTTTTACAGTCTCAAAGGGGTACATGCTATTTCTGGAAAGTGTGTCAAACCAGGCGGAAGCCACATGGGTTCACAACTGGACATGAAAAACCACATGGAAAAGAACACATGTGGAACTGGGGAGCCCCTCTAGAGACCAGGAGCCAAGAGCCTGTGAGCCCTAAGTGGGCTGGGAGTGTCCCCTGAAGTGGCACGTCCAGGCAGCGAGTGTGTGCCCCCACCCTCCAACCTGCAGCTGGGGTATTTAACCCTTCTGGCTGGGTAGGTGTGGTTGAAGGTCTTGGTTGTCTCCATTGGCTGAGTCCAGGCTTACATGTATGATGTACTTAAGGTGAGTGTTCCCAAGGTATTGGTTTTACCTGGGCCTAGGGGTGGTGGTGGTGGTGGTCCTAGTCTGTGCATGCTCAGTTTGGATTTTCCCATAGGTTCCAAAGCCTGTCTGATTTCTTTCCAACTCCTCTATGTGGCGACCCCATATAGTTCAGGGTAGAGTTGCCCCTGTGGGTTCCCAAGACATTAACTCTCTTATGAGAGTAGAAAGTCTTCTTTCTCCCTCAAAGCAGCTGGTGGTCTCGATCCGGTGACCAACGCATAACCACGATGCCGCCAGGGTACCTTTTTAATGGTGATCTCACTTTACCCATCTATTAACTGAGGCTAGGTAATGTAACTCTCTAGGCTATGAAAGCTACTAAATGCTGGGGTTGGGGTCTGCAACTGGGTTGGTCTACCCCAAAGGACCTGCCCTTGCTGGCTTTTGTGGACCCAGAACCTCCTTGGATTGGTGCGGTGTATCTCAGCCTTGCCAACTGTAAGCGACTGGCTTCATTTCAGCCTCAAGTGCAATCAGGCAAGACTCAGGGGGTTGGCATCCTTCTCAAAGCCGCGTCTGCCAGCTCCGGACTTGCCTGGGCAAACCCTGTTCCACAGCGGACTCTCGGGGGCCCGCACGCACCTGCCGCGCGCCAATCACAGGCCGGCGCGCAGGGGCGCAAGCGCCACCGTCCTGGGCGGGGCGTCAGCGTCCACCAATCGCCGCCGCCGCTGCAGCCTCCCGCCGCCCCGATTGGCTGGGCTGCCATGACGCGAGGACCCGCCTCCCATAAGCGGGCGAAGCCGGCCGGCAGGTCGGGCTGGGCGGAAGTCGTGCGAGCCGTCCGCCCGCAGTGCAGAGGCGCGCCGCGGTCCCACGGTGCGGGAGCAGGACGCCGAGCTGTGGCCATTGCCTCGTCGCCTCGCGGGCTCCAGGAAGATGCCCCGCTTCGCCCTGACCGTTATTCGACAGTGAGTGTCGCTGCGCTTCTCTCGGCTCCCCGGTCGGGGGTGGGTGAAGGGAACGGTGCTTTGCCATCCCCCCCGACCCCCAGTTCTGCGGACCGAGCTGTGGTCTCGGCACTTTCGCCAAGTGTTGGCTGCTGCCGGCCCCACCTGCGCCCTTTCCGTGCAGCGTGGGGAGGGGGCGGCTGGGCCGCTCCGTCGGCCCCGAGGGCCCGCCGCGCGAGGGGACCGGCGCCCCAGCGCGCTGGTGGCTGAGCTAAAACTCGAAGAAGCCCAACCACCTCGCCGGGTGACTTTCGCGGCTCCTCTTTAGCTCCTAAAGCGATGGCAGAGTTGGTCGAGTACTGGTCCACGAGTGGTTTGGGGATGCGGTTGGCGGTCTCCGTTGAGCCCCTCGTTGGCCGGGTCCCCCCAGCTTCAATTTGAGATTGATTTCTCCTCGCCAGAGATTGCAGTTCTGAGAGGGGACAGAGGGCCTCCGCCCTCTTGTCGGCGGACCGCAAAGCCTCCAGCAAATACTGTTATCTTCCCTGCAGATTACCGGCTGGCTGCTGCGGGAGGCTGAGATGTGTTCAGGCTTTTTACCCCACGCCCTCCGCTTATTTAGGATTGCGAATGGAAAGTGAAGTTCGTAGGGAGCAAGCCCAACCCCAGCGCCAGCGAGGGTTTCCGTACCTGGGCCTCAGTTTCCCGTTCGTGCCCACCTCACCGAGTGATGGTGAAAGCCCCATGAGCTGGTACCATGGAGGGGGACAAGCATCGCTGAGGACTAAAGGACTTCTAAATGGATTCCTAGGAGCCCTTGGGCTGCCCACTGCAAGGCCAGCAGTTCGAAACCACTGGCGGGCTCTGCTGGAGAAAGATGAGGACTTCTATTCCCACAGAGTTTCCATTCTGGAAATGCACAGGGGCAGTTTTATACTGTCTCAGAGGGTCGCTATGAGTCAGCGTCGACTCCTGGCAGTGGTTATGATTATTTTTAAAAATATGATTATTTCGTGATGCTGTGGGTTAATTGTTAAGCCAGGCTGGTGGTTCAAACCCATCAGCTGCAGCTGGGAGGAGGAGGAAGCTGGCGGCTCCCCCAAAGATTTATAGTCTGGGAAATTTCACTCTTGTCAGGTGGAGAGTTACAATGAGTCAGAAGGTTTCGTTTTTGGTTTTCTATGGAGTCCTTGGGTGATGCAAAGGATTAAGCACTTGACTGCTAATGGACAGGTGGGAGATTCAAATCTACTGAGGGGCACTGGGGAGAAAGGCCTGGTCATCTTACTCATTTATGGTAATCTCCAAAAAAGCCAAACACATGGCCACCGACCCATAGTGACCCACCCTATGGTTAGAACTGCCCCTGTGGGTTTCTGAGACTAACTCTTTAGGGAATAGAAATCCTTGACTCTCCTGAGGAGTGGCTGGTGCCCTAGGGATAATCATGACAACACTAGAGCTGCTTTTCACAAGACTCCACTCTGACTCATAGTGACTGTGTCAGGCAGCGTAGAATGCCCGAGCGGACTTCTGCTACGGTGACTCTTTCCGGGAGGAGAAAGCCCCAAAGTTCTCCGGAGGAGCAGCTGGTAGTTCCAAAGTGCACAGCCCGACATACACCCACTACTTCCCGGGGTGATCTGCTTCTGAAAATTCAACCACGGACCAATCGCAGGGAGCCAGGAAGGCGCTCTGGGGGACAGTGGTTAGCTCGCCTGCTAATGGAGAAGTCAGCTGTTGTAACCCACCAGCTGCACTGCAGGAGGAAGATGTAGCTGTCGGCTTTGGTCCAGATTTACAGCCCAGGAAGCCCTATGGGGCTTCTGAGTCAAAATGGCGTTCCTGGTGATGGTGGAGCTGTGAGCCAGAATTTCCTTGGTTCTGTTTATATTTCTCTAGCGACAGCTATAATAAAGACGCAACCAGTTCTACAATATGTATCATTTTATCAGGCCAGGGTTTTTCAGTAGGTACTATTGGGTCAAACAGAAACAGGATTCCACTGTTTCTGCCCTTGAGCTTAGAAAGAATGTTAATATGGTCGAATCTTCTGAAGTCCTCTTTAGCTGCTCTCTTTTCTATCTTGTTCTCCCTTCTCAGGAAGCTAATCTTGGCAGTTATCTCAAGTTATATTTTTAGGATTTTAATGCCAAACTGGAAATTTTGTTCCTCCATGTCTCTTCTCTTTCTCTCCATTTTTGTGGCAGGTTTTAGGGGCCAATTTAAGGTCACGCAATTAATTGGGGATAGGGCTAGGGTCTTGGTTCCTTTATGTTAGAGATCATTTTTAAGTGGCTTGCAACTTCTGACAGAATCAAAACTCAGAACTTGTCAGAAACAGGTTAAAGCCTCCCTGGAAAAATATCCAACCAAAGCCGCTTCCATCAAATCGATTCTGATGCCTTGTGACCCTACAGGACAGAGTAGAACTAACTGCCTCATTGGGTTTCCAAGGCTGTAAATCCTTACTGGTACATCCCTCTCACCTGGAAAGAGGTGATCTCACTTTGGATCCTTGTTAAGTGGCTCTGAGTTTATCCCACCGTTAACTAACCCCTGCCCAGCCCTGTAGTACTTTGTGCCTGGACGCTCCCCATTCTGTCAGGGGCTTCCTTTGACCCACCGCTCAGCCTCATCTCCTGCTGGAGGAGCCTTAATAGACAGTCAAACTACCATTGAACCAGTTCTGACTCGGAGTGACCCTATAAGACAGAGTAGAACAGCCCCCTGTGGGTTCCTGAGACTGTCACTCCTTGAAGAAGCAGGGAGCCTGTCTCTCTCCCGAGAAGCTGCTGACATTGCAGTTAGCATCCCGGTGCCTGACCACTTTGCCACCAGGGCTCTAATAGACAGTAGTTACACAAATAAGGAGTGTGACTTCTCCTTACATCTTCAGAAGGCCTTTAATATGGAATACCCCATAGGAATCAGCTTGCAAAACAAGCTTTCTGGGGATTACCAACCAAATTAAATACAATGAGTATTACTGGAACCAGCCAGAATGATTCACACGTTGTTGAGATGATTTTTAAGAGTCGGATAATCTAACGGCACAATGCCTCTTCAGGTACTGCAGGCACACTCCTTTGAAGCAACTTCTGTAAGTTTATCCAAGCCCTTCATGAGCCAGGTTACGTCTTCAGTCTTCAGTTCCTCAGTGCGGGTATAGCAGGAATACCACAAGTGAGTGGCTTTAATGCTGTCAAGAGGCTCATCAGGTGGAATACAGGGCACTTGGTCTAGCTGAAGGCTCTTCCCGGAGGATCTGGGGGAAGGTCCTTGTCCTTTTCAGCTTCTATTCTTGGGTTCATGTCACGTGGCATCTGCCATCTCCGCATCCTTGCTTTTGCACTGAATCTGTTTTGATACCTCAACAGTGATGGGTTTCAGACACACAATAACCTGATCTGGTCTCATTAATACAACAAAGAAAACTACTCCCAAATGGGATTATATCTGCATATCTTGGGACCCGGTTCCTTCCCATAACATTACATCTTTTGGACCTCCACTCCATTCATGTCCATAATCTCTCTCTTTGGCATACTAACGTGGGACATTTTGGGAAAGAAAGCTCCAGATGTCAAATGTCAGGCCTGTGATTATTCTGACGGAACTGTGACTTTCCGTGGTCACCGTGATTGAACACCGTAGCCGTGACTATTACACGTACCCAAATTCCCATTATCTCTACGGCCCATTTGAAGGTCTTGCTACTTAAAACTGCATCTGGGTCACTTTGGCTCCGGAGCACCGGAGGAGCTGCCCTTTGTGAGCCCTCCGAAGCACCCAGAGGTGCCTTGGTGGAGCTGAGGGTGGCTAGGCTTTGGAATGCTGAGGTTGGCGCATCCAGCCCACCGACCAGTCTGCAGGAGAAAGATGAGGCTGTCCGTGCCCGTAAAGATGGAAATCTCAGAAACCCTGTATAGCGGCGGTTCTCAACCTGGGGGTCAGGACCCCTGTGGGGGTTACCGGATTCATAACAGTAGCAAAATGACAGTGATGAAGTAGCAACGAAAATAATGTGATGGTTGGGGGGTCAGCACCACAGGAGGAGCTGTATGAAAGGGTGGAGAACCACTGCTGTAGAGGGTGACTAGGAGTCAGGATCCATTCCATGCGGAATGGATGAGTATGGGAGAGTATGCGGAAAGGCGACTTGGAAAGCAAGACCTGGTGATCTGCTTCCTAGAGATCAAAGCCAACCGAAAACCAGGTGGAACAAGTTGTACTCTTGACATGCATGCACGGAGTCACTGTGAGCTGGAACTGTACACCCGGCCCCCTGGAGTTTCTAGCGTAAACAACAAACTTACTTTGAAAGTACGGGGAATATGGAGTGGTGGTGGTCTGGTGCCTTTGGATTTTACTGGAAATTGAATTGGCTACAAAGTAACTGCCCAAGAGGATGGTACTTGTTTTAAAAGCCATTTGTTGTTGCTGCTTTTTAAAGCCTTGGCCTCACCGAGATAATGAAGCTGAGGCAGGAAGTAAATCCAATGGATGAGGAAACTCACTGCCATCTAGCCAATGCAAACTCTTAGTGCCCCTGTGGGACAGGGTAGAACTGCCCCGATTACAGCTCTTTACAGGAGTAGAAAGCCAACCCCTTCTTTTTCTCCCTCGTCTCCCTCGGACGAGCTGGTGGTTTGGAACTCACCTTGCAGGTAGCAGCAGCCCAGGGTGTATCCATTTCCACCAGGGCTCCCATCATCTGTCTGAGCGGTAACTGTTTAATATAACCTGTTTAATAACAGCTCATAGAATCCCCCCCCCCACCAAAAAAAAAAACCATAAGTAGTTTCCTAGCTTTTATCAACTTGATCAGGAGATTAAATATAAATCCTTACAGCAACCATTTAAGTGTAAGGTTTGGGAAGGAAGAGAGGAAAGTAGATGGCAAAGTTGGCCTGCGAGTCTGCTTCCCTTAACCAAAATTTGGCTGCAGCAGCAGCAGCAGCAAAGGTGGAGGGAACGGAAAGGTCAGAGGAACATATTTTGAAGGGTGCCAGGCGTAA